GTTTTTTCTAGGTCTGAAAAGAATGTTGTTGGTAATTTAATGGGTATTGCATTGAATTTGTAGATTGCCTTAGGTAAGATGGACATCTTCACAATGTTGATTCTTCCGATCCATGAGCATGGGATATTTTTCCACTTGTTCATGTCGGCTTTGATTTCTTTGAGCAGTGTTTTGTAATTTTCATTGTAAAGGTCTTTCACGTCTCTGGTCAGGAAGATGCCAAGGTATTTCATTTTTTTTGTGGCTATTGTGAATGGAACTGTGTTTTTTATTTGGGTTTCTGTTTGTTTATTATTGGTGTAGAGAAATGCGATTGTCTTTTGTACATTTATTTTGTATCCTGAGACTTTGCCAAAGGCTTTTATCAATGGAAGGAGACCTTTGACAGATTCTCTTGGGTTTTCAAGGTACACCATCATATCATCTGCATAGAGAGATAACTTGACTTCCTCTTTTCCTATTTGAATACCTCTGATTGCCTCCTCTTCTCTGATTGCTTTAGCCAGGACTTCCAATACTATGTTGAACAGGAGGGGAGAGAGTGGGCATCCTTGTCTAGTTCCAGTTTTCAGGGGAATTGGTTCCAATTTTTGTCCATTTAGGAGTATGCTGGCTGTGGGTTTCTCGTAGATGGCTTTTACTATTTTGAGGTATGTTCCCCGTAGGCCTAGATGTTCAAGGGTTTTTATCAAGAAGGGGTGCTGGATTTTATCAAAAGCTTTTTCTGCATCTAGTGATATGATCATGTGGTTTTTGTTTTGACATCTGTTGATGTATTTAATTACATTTATGGTTTTACGAATATTGAACCAGCCTTGCATGCCAGGAATGAAGCCTACTTGGTCATGATGGATGATTTTTGAGATGTATTGCTGAATCCGGTTTGCTAGGATCTTGTTGAGAATTTTAGCATCTATGTTCATCAAAGATATTGGCCTGTAGTTCTCTTTCTTTGTTGGATCTTTACCTGGCTTGGGTATCAATGTGATGTTGGCTTCGTAAAATGATTTGGGGAGAGTTCCATCTTTTTCAATCGCCTGGAATACCTTCAGTAGGATTGGTATCAGCTCCTCCTTAAATGTCTTGTAGAATTCTGCTGGAAAGCCATCTGGACCAGGGCTTTTTTTTGTAGGAAGTTTTCTTATTACGTAGTCGATTTCTTTGATTGTTATTGGTTTATTTAGGGTCTCAATTTCTTCTTGTTCCAACCTAGGTAGGTTGTGTGATGTCAGAAAGTCTTCCATTTCCTTCTGGTTTTCAAGTTTGTTTCCATACAAGTGTACGTAGTAGTCTCTAATGATCTTTTGTACTTCTTCAGGGTCAGATGTGACTTCATCTTTTGTGTTTCTGATTATGCTTATTTGGTTTTTTTCTCGTTTTTTCTTGGTCAGTCTAGCTAGGGGACCATCAATCTTGTTTACCCTTTCGAAGAACCAGCTTTTTGTTTCATTGATTTTTTGTATTATCTTTTTGTCTTCTATGTCCTGGATTTGGGCTTTTATTTTGGTGATCTGGATTCTTCTGCTGAAATTAGGGTTTTTGTGGTCG